TAGATTGAATCCTCGGTCCAGAGGACTATTCTGTTCCATTTGGTTAAATGAGAAACCTTTCGCGATAATACCTTGATGCTACGTTTAACATGGAATGACGGAGTCCCATTCATGTTGTTATCTTGGTTTCGAGAGGGTCGCCTGTCTATATCTTTTCCTCGACCTAACTCTCATGATTTTTCGGCATCAAGCTTTCGTATTGTGTCATGCTTTACAACTCCAGAGTTTTCCTGGTACGAATTTCCGCATTCCTCGTTTCTGTGGTCATTTAGAAACGAGAAGTTAGTAGCTCTTTCTACTAAATGTCTGTCCCGAAGTGTTTCCGGGAATTTCATTCGAACGTCTAAAGATTAATTCCATATCGTATGTTTCGAAATCTTCGTAGAGACCCGATTCCACTTGAGAAAATGATGATCCAAAATATCGAATCCATTCGAGTTTCATTTCAAACTCATGATCTATATCCTATTCTTTGAATTTCGGGACGAAATTCCCTCTAACGGGGGAATAATGTAACAACCTGAAATTTATTCGTCGCCAAAACCCGTTCTACCCGGAAAAAGTCGCCGTTATCGGATTCGTTCCGATTTCTCTTTGGAATTTATTTGTATAATTGATATGTTTATTTTATCCTAATGAGTGTCTAAAAGCACTCAGGAACTTATGTTATTCGCCCAAAATGATTAATTCACGAGTTTTTAAAATGTTCCCGTCGGGTGACGGAAACTCAATCGGGTGCGACCAAAAGCCGCGTTTAGCGTCGGTATCGGGTAGAATTCCACCGTGTGCAAATTTTAGGAACTATATAAACATGTGTCAGCCTTCATTTGAAGCTTTTCCTTCTCTCACTACTCTCTCTCTAACCTCTCTCCAAAATCCAAAGATTTAGTGTCCAAAACTCAATTTTAAGGCTTCAAATCCTTAAGGTACCTCCCTAGCCTTAATCTATAGCATCTTTAGCCTTCAAATTCGAGAATTAAACATGATTTGTGACCACATACATGAGTTTACGGCCATGGAGCATGCATGGGCCGTAAACTCACAATAAGTGGGGTTTTGAGTCTTTAAACCCTTCCTTGACTAGTTTGGACCTTGGATATGGCTATGGGACTTTAAAATATGTAACCTAAACATGTAAAACTTGCATTTTGTGATGTTTAGAGGAGTTTACGGCCAAGGAATATTCTTGGGCCGTAAACTCATATAATGAGGGTTTTTATGCCCTAAAACCCTTCCAAATCACCCCTATAGCTTAGATATGAATTATAGGATTTTGATTCTTGCATTTGGACACTTGAAACATTAAATTTGGGGGACTTAGATGAGTTTACGGCCAAGGAGAGTTCTTGGGCCGTAAACTCCACTAAACTTGGCATAAATCTCATTCTAAGGTGTTAGAAAGCCATCCAACACCACCAAAAGCCTTGGAATAAATCAAGGGACCAACCAAAAATACTTTGAGGGCCAAAAACACAACATTTATGGGGTTTCTAAGGGTTTACGGCCAAGACATGTTCTTGGGCCGTAAACTCCAAAAATTTTGGTGTTAGAATGCAAACTACACACCCCTAAGGCCCTTAGATGAATTTTAGAAGTCCATTCATGCATGTTCTAGACCTTGAAACACCTTGGAACATCACACACTAGAGTTTACGGCCATGAAGGGGGTTTCATGGGCCGTAAACTCCACAAATCACTCAAAAGTCCCATGCAAACTCATGTTAGGCCTTGGATTAATTCTACCAATCACATGTGATTTGTTCTAGCATCATTAAACATCATTTTCTTGGAAAAATAGGGGGTTTACGGCCATGGAGCTATGCTAGGCCGTAAACTCCCTTAAAGGGGGTCAAATTGATGTTTTGAATCATTCCAAGTCCTTAAACCAAGTCTAGAAATCATTCCCTAAGTGTTGGAAGTCCAAAAGGCACCATAAATCACCCATCATGAGTTTACGGCCGTAAACTCATGGGGAAGGGTGTTTTGGCCGTAAACTCCCTTAATGGGAGTGTTCCTTTGATGTCCCAACTCATTTCCCAAGTCCCTTGTGCCATTCATGTCCCTAAACGCCACCCGGGTCCCACCAAACACTCGTATCGGAGTGTTATCGCGACCTGAAGCATTGGTCCCTATCCGACAATCAATCTAAGTCCTAATTAGATACAAATGTGTATCTTTACTTCATAATTAGGAACCTCGTGCGTTTACATGTCCCGGCTCAACTCTTAGAATCCAAACCGTCTCGTACCTCGTTCGGTGAGTTCATACCCCTACGGCTTTTTCACTGTTTTCAATGTTTTCAGGGGGGAATACAAGCAAACCATAACCATTTTCAAATCACAAACATTGATGTGTTTCAAACAATATATGACAAATCTATAAACTCTCTTACTCCTTATGTATTATGCTGAGCATAAGGAATGACTACTCGATTTCAACTAAATGGATTTTAGTTAAGAAACAATCAAACTAATCAAATTATTATGGGAATAATTTGGGGGTCTTTACTGTGCTTTCTATCGCATACTGATATCTATACTAAATTATTAGATAAACTATGTCCGTTCAGTTTATCTTCGTATCATTTGAATGTATTATCCGATGATTTCATGTATGTATTTATACTTTACTGTACTATGTTTCATAACTTTCTGTATGTCAATATCTTACAAGAACCCTGTGAATAGTTTAGTACTAGCTTGTGAGATAGTCACTACCCTTTATGGATGATCAGTAAATCCTCTCCGGAAGTGTAACCAGAGTCTCCTGGAGGGAGAGCGCGGAATTTGTGAATAGATCTATTCGGGACTGACAATCCCACACCTTAACTGCTAGCTACAGTTAGGCGGGCACGCCTAGGGTGACAAATTTCTGGATATCGTTCGACGTCTGACAAACGTCAAGGAGGTCACGTTGTCGTATTAGTATGGTTACCCGACTCACAATATGTATTAATACCAGCTTATTCACAGTTTGGGTTCAGGATCTTTATTTCGTTCGGGATAGTGATCCCATGGTTTTGTATCTATATTCTATGTCTCTTTCGGGATTGTGATCCCATGGTATTGTTTCTATGTCTCTTTCGGGATAGTGATCCCATGGTATTATCAAACTATTCTATATCTATGTCCTATACGGGATAATGATTCCATGGTTTATTCTTATATCTCTTTCGGGATAGTGATCCCATGGTATTAACTAAACTATTTGGTATCTAGTTCGGGATAGTGATCCCATGGTTTTATGTCTACTATCTGTACGGGATGTCTTTCCCCATGATCTTTAACTATATCTTATACGGGATAGTGATCCCAAGGTTTCATATCGATAACTTATACGGGATAGTGATCCCATTGTTTTCTAAATCTATATACGGGATAGTGATCCCATGGTTTTCTAAATCTATATACGGGATAGTGATCCCATGGTTTTCTAAATCTATATACGGGATAATGATCCCTACGTTTTTCTAAATCTATATCTTATACGGGATAGTGATCCCATGAGTTCTAAAATTTGTATCTTATTCGGGATAGAGATCCCATGGTTTCAAATCTATATTTACATACATACATTAACTTA